TCGAGTGTATGACATTTCAAATTTAAAATTTCACGTAAAATATTGTCCTCTTTATTGCTGCTTATTCATCATATATAATATCCACAAAAATGAAAATGTAAATAGAATCGAATTAATATTCATTTATTCATAACGTTGAATAATCGATAACTATGTACATTGTCTTGTTAAAAAGAAATTCATGAAACACATATTATGAAACGAAGCACAAAAAGTGAATTACCATAAGATCCTAATCAATAGTTTGAAACATGCGTGAAATGAAACATTATCTTTTTCTTTAAAAGAAAAAAAAATCTTTCTTTTCAATTTACTGTCACTGTTACTTTGACAAGTATGAATAAGATAAATAAGAAGAAAGAAAGGATATTATACACATTACATTATTCATTTAAGCCAGAAAGATGGTACGTGTAATAAAAACTTAATTTACATTAAAATTGGTCAAAGATCAAAAGGACCGTTCTAAAAAATTTGCAGATTTATAGAACATTGAGAAAAGAAGTTGATTCTTGCGTAATATGTGATTGCTTAATTCTCTTCAATCTTCTAAAAGATCTGGTTTCTCGCATTCTTTTTCAGTAACGGTATTTGTCACTTACATAATGTACATAATTTAATATAAAATTAAAATAAAAAATGAATGCATGTCTGGAAGCTTTATTTAAAATAATATCATTTCTATACCATGTTTTCCAGGTAGATAGATATTAAAATAAATTGCAAATATTAAATTGATATATTTTAATCAAAATATCATCAGAGCATTTAGTATATAGAATTTATTTCTTTATATAAATTTTTGCCTCGAAACAAAATCTTTGAAATATTTATAGATTATAGATTTATTTAAATTTAAATTTAGAAATTTTATGATACAACTTTGTACAATTAATATCACTATTAACTTCAGGATTTTCGGTGGGCGACGAGCTGGGCTTTGGTCAATCCCTGTCCAATGTAGAGGCTTTAAAAAGAAGAAGTGTACAGACCAATAGAATTGGTTCATCGTCCTACACTAATTTGGTAAGCCTATTGAAAACGTAGAAACGTGTTATATTTCTTTTAAATAAAGGAGATGAAAAGAAGCGAAATTCTTAAATTATTAAATTTGATGCGAATGGTATTGACAATTTTTTCTAAGTCAATTTTTATTCTATATCACTACGCAGGTATGTACCTTCTTGTACACAAGTAGTTCAAGGAAAATCTAGGATAAATAAGAATGTAAAAAGCAATTCCATCCATGATTCTTATAATGGCAAGATTTTCTTTTTCCTTTTTTTTCACTGCATTCCGATTGAATCCATATATAATATGATGCTCAACACTGTTTTCTTTGTGTAATCGTGATCCAAATCTGCATTTATTATAACGAGAAAAGAGGAGATAAATAACTTCTTTGATACTTAATAGCTCCTTCTTAAACGAGATAAAAAAATGTCAATATCTTTAACGATAATCTTTAAAAAATTATATTAACAATTTATTGAAGGAAAATTGCAGTCACATGTCCAAATTTTAGATAAGTTTATTAAAATATCGATTAAGCCTGAAAATATGCGATCGATCTTATCGTAATTAGTGCGTGAACTCTTCACGTAAAACTTTCCACAACAATAACACGTTAAGTCTAGTTAAATTCTCATTCTCATACTAATGCATGTACATTTAATTTTCATAGATATAAGAAAAAAAGAAGATGAATGAAATAGGACAAGATCAAAATGCATTAATCATCAACATATGATTCCTAGTAATTTACACAAAAGTAATTAGATATATATATTTTCAATTTTTAAAATATGTCTCACTTCGTTATTCTAAAACAAATATACCATATTTTTTTTAGTTCTTAAAAGCTTAAATAGAATAGAAATGTTGAAGAGTTTCATCTCATAAGTTTTATGTAAATTGTACTTACAAATCTATTTGCTATTTATCCTTCGATCCTCTAAAAAAAAAAAAAAAAAAAAAATTAAAAAAATTTTTCAATGATATAAACATAACTCTAATGCATAATTAAAGTTTTTATGTCTCTCTTTAAATATATACTAAGCGCGATAATGTATTTAATTCAATAGATAGATTTTTATTTTTTATTTTTTTTCGTAGATTTAATGCATAGTTATTTGAATACAAACAAGAGATCGTTAATTATATTAGACAAGAGAATTTCGAAATGCATAATCATCCGTATATTGACATTTGAAACACCATTTCATGTTTATGCAAATAATGGAATGCTATAAAAATAAATACGTATAATTTTATTTCTAACTCAGTTAAAAGTCAACATTAATTTTACCAAAAATTATTCACATCCTTTTAAACAAATTCTTTTAAAAAAAGATATAATATAATTGTGATACATCGATAATGATTCGTTTAAGGCGACCAATCGAGATGATCAGAGACAACACACACAAAACACTCGACAAGTAGTGCCTCCTTTCAAACCTTTACCACCTGGAGCAGCAAGGCCGATAGCTCAGCAACCAGAACGACAAAAATTGGTGGTACAACAAAATTCCACGGTCCTTAGAACCATACCAGCACCTTCCTTATCAGCAACGCAGCAAGATTTATTGAGGCAACAGCAATTGATGCAAGAAGCCAAACAGAAGCAGCAATTGAAATTGCAACAAGAAGCTTTCGCGTTGCAAGTGTTGAAGCAACAGAGGCTACAACAGCAGGAAGCCATGAGACAGCAGCAATTACAAAAACTTCAACAACAAAAACAAATGATGGTTCAACAACATAAAAGGCATCAACAGGTCATTCCAATGCAAGTGATAAGGGATCAGGTAATTTTCATTAATTCGAATCGATATGCTGATTTTTTATTCTTAAAATTGTTAAAACAATTCTTTGACTTGAAAATTGATGTCTATTCCATAGACACCACAGATGCTCGCGGTTGCAGCTGCAATTCCAGGAAAATTGCCAAACATCGTTGCTGCCATACCACCAACTGGCAGCATCGTAGAACCAGAAACTTCGAAATCAACGAATGATGGCTTACCACCCTTTATCTCGATGCCACAGTCGTCTGCTCAATTGACTGATCGAATCAGCAACAATCCAGCTATTTTAGAGGATTCTGATAATGAAGTATCGAAAGACGATTTCAATCAGGTAGATTTCAATCTTATTTTCTTATAATATTCAAAAATTTTTTCTATATAGTACCAATTTCTTTCTAAATTTTGTTCTGCAGTATTGATATAGTTTTTAACTAACTCTTATATATACTCTTCGATACATTATTTAGCTTCCTCTGCCCGGGGATGAAGTTGCCTCCTCGGTCAACGAGATGACTTTGCTTTCCCTTCAGCCAATGCCTCTTCAATCAGCTGAATTCAATAAATCACAACAGCAAACCAATAAACGACAATCGATGCCATCCTCATCGTCGTTGCCATCGTCACTTCCGTCTTTAGCGCCTATTCAGGGAATGGAGACATCGTTAAAAGCTCTCGCGGAAGCAAGTAACATCACCTTGGAAGCTCTGGAAGCGGCTATTCTCCTCAGACAGCAACAACTTATGCGAAAACAGCAAGGACCGGCGAGCAGTAGCACTACGACTACAACAATGTCTCCACACAAAAAGTAAAAAATATATATGTATATATATTTCATTCGATTTTCTGCAATACCTCTTTTTCTTTTCCCAATAAATTGTTATCGTTATTAATATTTTCAGTAAATATAATTCTGGAGCCACTAAAGTAATGAATGCGCCTCGTGAGTATTATCCAATGGGATACGATAAGAATTTCGATGACAATTTCGCAAGCCGAGTGGATCTTCCAGACACGAGCTTTTATTGCGGTGATCAAAAGCATTTTCCAGGGCTTTATGCCGACGAGGATCTTGGATGCATGGTAAATTTATTCTTATTAAATTATATAATATAAACAAAGATTTATTTATTTTTTCATTTTTAATTGTTTCATTCTTCGTGAACAATTAGGTGTTTCATGTCTGCGCACTGACAGATGATGGTCTGATTATGAAGAGCTTCCTCTGTCCTGAATCTACCCTGTTCGACCAAACGATTCTAAAGTGCAACTGGTGGTTCTACGTAGATTGCAAAGCCTCTAAAAGCTTGTACGACAGTAACATCCCAATTAGCAAAAGTTATCAACTTATGAAAGCCTTAGCATTCTTTTCAGCGTACAAAAATCATGATAATAGTACAATTTCTGCTGAAGAAAATTTAGAAAATTCAGAATAATTTCTGAACTTGCTAAAGGAACTATATCCTCGTATCTAGTTTATTATTGTAGTTCTCGTATAATTTTTTAATCGGTTCTACGATTGCCAATTTATTTTCTTTTGATCCAATTAAGCTTTGGAATTTGTTAAAATCAGTTTCTCTATTTATTTTAATATGGAGCTAAGTTTTTTGCTCAATTCGTGTCATTATTATTGAAATTTTAAATTAGAAAATAATTTTTGGTGAATGTTCGGTTTATCTCGATGGTTTATCTTAATGGATTAAAAGAAACTTTTCTGTTGATGCGTAAAATGAAGAATGTACAGTATTGCCTTGCTGGAATTTTGCTTTGCTGAGAAATTGAATAATTAATTATCAACATTATTATATTCATTTATGTCCATTTCACACAGAAAAAGCAAAATAAACCATTTCCTATAAATTATTCAAATGATATCCTAATCATTTGTCAGTTAGCTGCCACTGAGCAAGGCATTTCTGTACTTTAAAAATTATTCGTTTTGTGATATGACAATTCTCTTCTACGATCACTGCCGTCATAATCCAAAACGATAAATGTGTACATATAATTTATTATGTTATAATATGTGATAGGCGTAGTGAATAATTTTTAATTAGTTGTGTTATTAGCATTGTAAATAGTATCATGTTGGTACTTTCGTTGATATGGCTTGTTTAATGATGATTCCATTTTGTTGACATGGCTGTTTTCTATATAGTTGAAATAAAAAAAGAAAGAAAGAAAGAAAGAAAGAAAGAAGATAGAAAGCATAAACTTTATTATAGCAAATAATAACTATGGAAAATAATACAAATTAAATGCCAATGTTGCGTTAATTTATGCGATCAGTCTATAATTTCTCGTCGACGATCTCGTGATTTCCTTTTGAATATTAAAATTTACTAAATTTTCCTTTCATTTTAATTTAATCTAACACTTATTTTCAATATTAAATAAAAAGCTCGAACGATTTTCACAGATAGATTAATCATAAATAATTATACATTAATATCATCGTTTCTATAAAATTACAATTAAAGCTATACGTATATAATTCGATAAATAATCTACTTTTCAAAACGTTATAAAACGTTGACAATTGTTATAATTTATTAACTTTTATAAAAGTTTAATCCAAGCTTATTCATAAACCTATGGATTATTTATAATAATTATTTCATTATTTACTTTAGGAAATCTAATATCTAATATCATTTCTATACATAAAACTTGGCGTTAAAAATCTTTCATCAGGCAGTGCAAGAGTAAGTAATTCTACGACACGTATAATATCATAAAGTTACGTTCAATGATTCGATCAATCATCGATGCTTTAAATTTGCATTTACGATACATTTAGTTGATCGACAGAATTTCAGATTTTCATTCGAGATCTTGCTTAGCTCTGGAACACGATTGACAGCACAGCTGATGGTAAAACTGGTAACTGCACAGCCGAGCTTGTGCCACTAAATTGCAGTTAGATGTACTGTCCTTGCAAAGTGGATTTTCTTCCAGAACTGAAAGTAAAAAATTATCAAAAATCTTTAATATGATTTCCAAAGATTGAAAAATTCGTAACCAAAAGAAAAAAAAAAAAAGAAAATAAGTCATATCCAATTGAATTCATAAGGATCACTTTAATTTAAAAATCTATCAAATAGATAAGGTAGTTTTCTTGCAATGCAACATAATAAATGATAATAAATCGTAACGAATGTCTCATTAAAGAAAATTACAAATTTTTTGACAAATTATTAAGAAATGCCATGTGAAATACCATTTGATATTTCTGGATCGTCTTGAACTTGCAGGACAGTGTGATGATTCTCAGATCTGTGCATGTCCTCCTTACAAGGATAGTCGTTGCAAGTTCGTCGAGATATAGGTCGATCCTTTTCTTTGCAATGGAGCTCGTGGTGTTCCGGTATCTGACCCTCTCTGTTCAGACACTTTACTTCTCTCTTTTGAAAGCCTTTTCCACACGATCGGGAGCACTAAAACGCGTGGAAAATAATTTACGTAACAATTATGAATTTTTTGCTTCGTGGTTTACAAATGTTTCTCAAAATTGTCAACTGTACAGAAGATTAATTTAATGTTAAAATGCGCAAGCGAAGAATTTAAATTACTTCTGTCCAGTCTGATATAAACCACGAGGATGTGCATGGTGGAGCGGTGCAAGATCTTCGACTTTCCGGTTTGTTCGCAGGGCAATTCATGTCGAGAACAACACGAAGAGATCCACGAAGCGTAGTTATGCAGGCTACTTCTCTGACTTGTTCTCCTTGATCACATTCCGTGGAACACTAGAGGAAAAGGTATTATTTATTCGAAATTTAAAATGTAAACTTTAAATCTCAAGGTTTGGATGGATCTTCCCCTCTTAGGGATAAAAATCGTGTATAATTTTTAAGATTTTCACAGCAAACGGTAAGCTAACATATCTATTATTCGGTATTAAATTTATTATTTTCCTTATTTATGTTATTTGAACCTACCGCGGTCCATGGTCCCGTAAACCATTGTCCACTACAGGTTCTGTTGCTGGAACAGGTTCTTGAAGTTTCAGGTCTTGTCGATTGGTCGCAAAATTCTCCCTCCGGATCTTTTTCGCAGAACACCTTTCTCGTTTGCATACCGACTCCACATTCGGCGGAACACTATTGAAATTGATAATAAATACTACACTTTTCTTAGAATGACAAAGAAAAAAAAAATTAATTTTAAGTGTTAAATCGACTATCGAATATTTTTTATTTCCTCACAAGGCTCTTTCCGATTTACAAATTTAGAAAAATGTTAAGAAAGTTCCATAAAATAATCATATATATTTTCTACCTCCTCGGACCATTCAGTGTACAACCACTGCGAACTTTCGATTCTCGTGGAAATAGCATTCGTTTGTGGCGATTTAGTGGTACAGGCTCCTAAATCACAAGCATCTTGAGTAATAGGCTTTTCTGCAAGATTACACGTAGGGCCTTGTGTCACGCACGTTGCACTCCTTGTTCTCGTACCTGGACCGCAAGTTGTGGAACACTTGAAAAGAAAAAAAAAAAAAGAAAAAAACGAAATAATCACAATATATCTCAATAAACATAATAAATTATTCGTGATTTTTATCACGATTTTATCTTTTCTTTCTTTAACTCGATTTATTACATATATAGGCTTCGTTTTGAATTTTATTGGATAAAAGAGAAACATACCGTGGACCATGTGCCCACGCTCCATTGCGGAGGCGGTAATGTTGTTGGTGCTACCTTCGATTCGAGTTCACAGCGTGGCATTTCGCAAACCTCGGAAGTAGGAAAAATATTAGGCTCCACGCAGGCGCCATCGGCTATTCTCATTATCAACGATGCTGTTATTCTTGTACGCATTCTATGCTTCTGGAACGCGTACCGCTACCGCAGGTAACCGAACAATGGCTCCACGGGCCTGCTCTCCATCTTTATAACGTTACGAAATATATTCGAATAAATATTGGAATTCACAAATTAAAATTATCTCAAATAAAATTATCTCTAAAATTAGATTAGATGGATACGTTAAATGTTGTATTTAAAATATTGAAACAATAAATGCGTAAAATTATTGAATTAAGGAATAGAAGAGTGTAGGATATATTATGGAAGAATATATTTTTTTTCAATTGAACGCGTGGAATTCTATTCACCTGGGTAGGCAAGGTGTAGTATTGCATCGTACTTGAGTTTCTCGCGGTTTTTCTAACGCGTGGCATCTCTTTTCAGGCACAGGTGTCTGTGTGTGTTCCCTCGTGCATACATACTTCAACATCTGAATACCTTTTTTTTTTTTTTTTTTTTTGGTACAACAAATAAAAAAGAAAGACGTTTGTTTCATATATTTAACTTGGAAATATAATTTCTAAAAATATCTCTTTACCTCCGCCACAAGTTTTACTACACTCGGTATAACCGCTTGGTTTCCAAAAGAATTTTCTTTTCTTGTACCGTCTTGGAAGATATGTTTGCGTTCCATCATTGATATTAGAACCGGCTTCCACTCTATGGAATAATAAATAATCGTTAATTGATAATGAAGTGTGACAAAAAAAAAAAAATATTGGAATATTCAAGAATTCTTACTTTCTGTGAGGAATAGCTTCACCAGCCTTGTTAGAAACTGAAATAGAACTTTCTGTACATTAATTGTTATTGTTATTTCATTCTCGTCTATTCAAAAGAAAAATTGTATACCCGTTCTATGTCCGAGATGAGAACTCGGAGACACCCCACTTCCAGGGATCACGTATCTATATACAATCCCAGGATTCGGTTCTTGATATAAAACCTGAATCGAAAATGTTTGAATATATATCTTCTTGTTTCATTTATTTCCATTGCTTTAATTTATTTACCATAACATCAATGGGCTCTTCCAACGGGCCAATGGCAGAGAAACTTTCCAAATTCTGGGGACTTTGACGAACGTAGACGAAGGTAGTCCCTGCCGCTTGATATTTACCAGGCAGACTTATGCTGTAATTTCCATTGAACACGTAGCTACCATCTTGCAACTTGACCGCTAGAAACAAGATTAAAATCCAAAGCAAGATTATTGAAATCTGTTCTTAAAGATTTCTCAGTTTCTATCACATCAGAAATCGAATATATGATTTAGTAGGATTTATCACTAATTCAATTTATCAAAATTTCATTCCATCCTATCTATAATTTTCAGTAAAGAAAATTAGATTTCTCGTTCGTCGTCAATGTATTGTCTAATATTTTTTTCCACAAGAATCGAAATGCGTAAATAAAACACATTCATTACGTAGAATAAAGCGTTGGACGACATTAAGATTCAGATCATTCTGTCGATAATGATTTCGCGTAATTGTAGCGCGTTTAAAGTTAGCTCGGATTCGCATAATGAGACGGAAACGGAGAGTCATTCACGGGTTTGCATGCGAGAAATGTCGGGTGCAATGCAACTGCGCGATACGATACATTGAAGGCATAGACGAGTCATTTAGCGGATGACGTGCACATTGGATAGCCGCTATGTGTCTTTCAACTCTCGTCAAGCTTGGTTAAACGAAATATTATCTTGATATGAACCGTGAATGCAAATTGTTTCGTTTTCATTTTACAAACGAGAGTGATACAATCTATCAACTTTGTTTAATTATCATACAATTACATAAAAATTGATTTTAAAAAGAAATAGAAATAGGTGGAATAATTTATTAGATTGCTTTCCCATGGAAAAATTATAATTATTTTAATAATTAATGATAACTTGTTTTATTCATATAGTCTTTTCTTTTTTTTTTTTTTTTTTGTTAATTGATTATGTATATTTAAAACTTGTGCAATGATCTTTTTCATCGAGGCAATTTAAATTTCTAAGTATAAAAGATACATTATTTTTCGAAATTTACGATTCATGAAAATGTATGAAATTTAATCATGAATTTTATTCTAATTTAAATCTATAAATTTTTTACACTTTTACATTTTTCCAGTCTAGAAATTATTCAAATACTTCACTATATTTCTATTTTATGTATATTTAAATGCATTCTAAATATTCCCGCACGTTTAAGCTTTCCACAAATAGTTCGCGAAATAGAAATTATTTAAAAATTTACCACGAAATGGCCAGCCATCTAAAATTTACGACTAATAAAATTTTGGAAAAATTGTCGTAAATTGCACGTACACAAAATTGCGAAATCGACTTCGAGGATTCGTGTTACATACATATATAATTAATCACATCGTTATGAATACCTTCGATTCGTTTCGCATTACTTCACACCTACCTGGTTGTTTCACCAAGCGCTAAAGAATGGGTAATCGAATAAAAATAATATGCGCTATGTAATCTTCTTTAAAGATCTATGACACATCGACCCATTCGATCCATTGTGAAAATCTTGGCTGAGATCGTTTAGGCAAGAATTACAGCTCGCAAAGGTTCATATGATCGGTTTTACGACCGTATCAATTTATATTATTCACGGTTATTATTTGGATGTGGTTCAAGAAAACTGGACGTGTGAAAATTAAGAATAGAGAGTGAGAATTTTCAAAAGAATGAAGAATGAAAAATCTCACGGAAATATTAATTTTGGAAAATAAGTATTCTTCTACTCTCGTTTCTAAATGAAATAGCAAGATTACGTGAACAGAGAAAACTATTTAATTACAAAATTCATTTTCACTCACAATATATATTAACAAATATATATAATTTCAAATCGAATATATTATTCAATTTATACGGATTTATATAATTCTTCGGATTATAATAAAAAACAAGATATTTTATGACTATTACATATATATATATATATATATATATATATATATATAATAATATATATATACTATAATAATAATAT